TATGCTTCGGACGAGGTGAATCGAGGTATTTCACATTAAGAAATCCTCCGTAAACTGGAGCTTACCCCTGGATTGGTACGCACCCCGGGCATCGTTTTAGCTTGGACGTCAGACAGTGTTGTGATTGTTGGAGAGCTGGATGCAGTAGAGGGTGAACTGTAGCAGTTAAGTTGAGCGTTGACTTCAGACACCCTAATTAGGTTGTCTGTATTCTAAAATTGGAACATTTTAACAACAAGTTTGTCATAGAGGGCCCATAGAGAGAGAGGGGGAGAGAGAGAGGGAGAGATAGAGAGGGAGAGAGAGGGAGAGAGAGAGAGGAGGGGGAGGCACGTTGAGATTAGGGGATTGCTCTTCTACCTAGACAGGAGCTTCAGGCTGTTTGCTGCCTTTTCGGGAAGATTTGAGGCGGGGTTTTGTTTACCTTGGTGTGTGTGTGTGTGTGTGTGTTTTTGTATGTGCTGCACTTGTGTTGCCTCATGTTCTGCATGTGTGTGTGCGAGGCTGTGTCTGCACGTGGCAAGGCAGTAGCCGTCCACCCCCATATTCCAAAACACACCCGTTGGCAGTGAGTGATAAAGGTTCCAAACAAAAGCAAGAGGTCTCGTGCCTTGTGGAGGTGAACCTACAGCTCCACAGAGGCAGTTGACCTTGAAATGAGCGGTGGTGTTTGGGGACAGGCGGGGGAGGTCGGTGTTTAAGAGTGTAACCTCAGAGCCAGAGGCCACGAGGCTGCCTAATGACTGGCACCCAATGCCATCCATCACTATGCCACTGCCAGGGCACCTGCCCCCGCACAGCTGAGAGAGCGGAGCTTTAATAACCCCTCGTACCCGTTCAGTGGACCACAGCACAGGACATAAAACACAAACTTATATTACACAGGTGTTCCTTATGTACAGGAGACTGCAAAGACATATGCGAAGATCCACACCACAAAATATAATATGAATTGCAGGCACAGACGGCATGAATATGCAGTCAAAGTAGCAGATCCACTCACACTCACAGCTCATTGCTCTCATTCTGCTTGCATACTGATGTGCACACGCCAAACTAACATACGGATATCTGCCTCTAGACACTCATTCACTCGCTATTTATAATGTAATGTAGGCAGGCGAGGATACATAAAGGCACAGAAACATCCACAAAAACAAATACACCAACACATCCACCTCCCATCTGTATTTACGCCTTGATGCTGAATGTTTGTGACAAAACAATTGACTGTTCCTGTTTTTTTATGATATTTTGCTTTGAAATGGATATCCCTGTAGCCTGCTAGTTCAATTCTCCCATGAAGGAGTGCCTCGTGCCTTTCCCCTTTTGCTTATTCTCCCCATTCCTCCCTCAGAGTAAAAGTGGAAAAGGGGGGCTTTCCCATACCTGAGCCCCTTTCTGCTCTGCTCTTTCCTGTGACAGGCTTTGAAGCCCCCATTCCTGGGTGTGGGTTATTTTATCAGAGAGGAACAAGGTTTCCTCCTGCACTCCCAGGCTCATCCACATTGTATGAAGCATCCCCTCTCAATTAAGATTCTTTCAAGTTAATGGTGTTCTTATCGCTCCTGTGCACGGGTTGTGAAAGCGAGGCCTACTATAGTAGAGTACAACCACAGAGCAGAGCTCCCTGCCTGCCAATATAAGAGATGTTACTCCCATTCTTCTTTCTGTCTCTGCATTTCCAGGTATCTCTTTCTCCAACCCAGTCTGAGCTATAGTGGGGTGTTGGAGTAGTGGCTACATGGAGGTGTTCCAAGAGAGTGGCGGGGTCAAATAAACCTAACCTGACACTCATTACTTTACCACTGAGTTTAGACCCATAGATGTGCTTTGTACTCAACTTAGTTACATCTCAGGTGCAGCTCAGCATACACATATACTAACTCACATTCAGCAGAAAGTAGAAGGTCATTGTAGAAGGTCATCTGTCTGCAACGACATCTAACTCCGTCTGTGTCTTCAGCTCCATTAGCCAATCTCTTGCTTTGTCTTTCCCTCCTCGTCTTTGGGAGTATAACAGGTTGTATGACTTTAGGACGAGGTAGGCAGTCACTGAGAGATCGTAGGAGCACTGGCTGCCTCTATGTGCGTGGGTGCCAGAGAAACCTGTTGCCTGGCTACAACAGCACCTTTATCCTCCGGTTGCGATGGCGATGTCCTGCATATCGCATAAGCGTGTGCAAAAGTATGTGTTGGCACACCAACTTTTTCACGTTTTGCCTCTTGAACTGTGTATTGACTGTGAATGCATTCATGACCGTGTTTTCTCCGTTATGTGCATGCCTGCCTTTGTATGTTGAGGCACTCGTGTGGGATTTGAGAAAGAGAGTAGTGAAAGGAGGGGTAGGAAGGCGCTCCACCACCCACTCAGCAGGCCTTCCGCCCCCATGGCTGACTCCCCAAGACTCTGCTAGTAATTAGCTCAACATCTATCCATCTGTTCAAGGGAGGCGCAGTAAACATTAACACAACACAGCAACATCAAAATGCTGGCTGGAGACATGCTACATTTTACATATACATGATGCGTTCATGCTATGAGGAAGCTATTATGGGAATTGTTGGCAAACATGTCTACAGATATGTCCAACATGTATTTATAGGCTTGATCTCACATACTCACATAGGTGTCATAACAATCACATATATGTGGGTGATGCAAACATCTCCATATCCTCGCCTTCATGCACACCACAGGTTCCTGCGAATGTATCCCAGTCTCCCCTTCCTCTGCGGAAATGAGGTTGGATAGCTGCCCTGAGACCCGCATGGGAAACACAACCAAAAGACTACATTACACAATTAATCAATAAGTTAATGAGATCTCATTTTCTCTGGAAAATAGAATCCAGGCGTAAAAGTTCCCCCTCAGCCGTTTTCCCTCTGCTCCAGGAGAATCAAATCCTGATATTACACTGTAGAAAAAGAAAGTAGCCAGCAGGAAAGTAAATTAAATTACCATCCTGATAGATTTATGTGATGCTTTACATTTTCATTGTGTTGTTTTCCTCTCGGAGTGGAGGTGGGCTCAAGTTGGAAGAGAACTGTTCAATCTGTTGTAAAGTAGGAAGAGGAAGAAGCAGAAACAAGATTGGGGAGAGAGAGAAAGCTCCAGACAGACAAATCGCAGATTCTCTACTGGTAAAGCCCAGCCACACAGATTACGTGTGTTTGGGTGAGCTTTAAGGCTGCCACATGTCTCTTCCTTTGTGTTTTATTGTGTGTGTGCATATTGTTGTGGCTATGTGGGAGAAGGCAGGAAACAGCAGAGAGTGTGGGTGTTGGAAGAAGGAAATGTTTCCACGTGTATGATTGTGTAAAGCTACCCCTTGTATTTCCTGGAGTATCTATGTGTGTGATGGTATGCTAATCAGTGTGTCCTGGCTCGTGTGTGTGTGTCTGCTCACAATCACGCGTGAACTGTGGGTCTATGAATATTCCTCTCCCGCCAGCATTCCCATACATCCACATACGTTTATGCATGATCATAATTGAATGAAGCTGTCCAGATTTGGCACTCTCATTCCAAGAAAAGATTGAGGGCATCTCTTAGCTATTGACACAGCTGGTGATGCCATCTGGGAGCATCACACGCTCCTGGTGCCATCTCCATCCAAACAGGGCAGCAGTCGTCGCCTTGTGTCCATACCAATGACAGGGGACAAGGAAAGCAGCGAGATAACACAGTGTAGAGTCCAGCTCCGCTCCTGGGAGGTCACCTGTCATCCAGAGACTGTTTTACATATTCTTTCCTCCTGTTCCACTACTGGAGCTGTGTCTGCCCAAACACATTGAGATGGTACGTCTGGGATGTTTTAAAAAGGCTGTTTCTTTGGATATGCTTGCCCCGGAACCACACCCTCGTCTGGTGAAAGGGAAGAAAGAAAGAGAGAGGGAGAGGGGGAGGAAGCTGTAGATTAATGGTACACACTGAGAGGGAGCACAGACCTGCAGTAGCAGCACCCTGATTTATTTGCCACTTAGTACTGATGAAGCTTCAAACTGCAGTCACACACACATGTTGTCACGGCATTTTTCTCTATCAAGGACTTTGTTGCTTTGCCTATTCCTGCGTCTTATTAAGCGGCGAGTGCATACATGCAAGTGTGGTTTTGCGTGCATCCTTTTGTTCGTTTTTATTTCTTTACATCAGCTTATTTTTGCCTGCATAGCGGTCAGTTGTAATCAGGGCAGCTTTTATTTATATTCTATGTGTCAGTGTAGGAATATTGTTCTGTATTTGTTTGCTAGGTTCTTGTGGGCTTAGTGACACCCGGATGTTTATAATAAATTGGAGGCGATAAGGACTGGAATGGGAACATTCCCTGTGTGAGTCTTTGCCATGCTCTGTAATCAAAGCTTTTCAGGATAACACCAGCGAATTGATGTTATTCACACGGGCACAACATTCCTTTAAACGCTACCTATTATTCATAAGCTGTCAATTTAGGGAATTTGCCGAGGTAACCCAGTAACAATTTGCAGCCTGCAAATGGTTGAGTTCTGACTTGGTAAATACAGGCAGAGTTAATTGAGGGCATCAACTCACCATGTGGGAGGACTTGACAAAATGCCACAAGTGTGTTACACAAGCACACGTTGTAATTATCACACACACGCACGTACACACAAGCTGACACACACTATTGTACACGTCCAAGGGCACACACATTTGGCGATACAAATAGTGACATAATGAGGGAGATTATTGCTGATTTCTGATCCCAGATTTGTTCTGGTCCCTGCTTGTGGTTCGTGTTGTGCGTTTACTCCTCTGTTCTTGGGCCTGAGTCTTACTATCCAGTGCTCATAGTTCAGCAACATTTAATTTCTCATCAACCAGCTGACTTGTTCCAAATAAAAGCCCTCACGGCTGATCCACAGTATCAATGTGTCACTAAAACTCCATTTATATCTTCAAGAAACCATGCTCTTATACGGACTGTCCATAAAGTAATCTCATCTAACCATCCTCCCTCTCTGTGTGATCCCGACAGAACCCTGATATCGTGCTCGTCCACTATTTGAATGTTCCAGCCATTGAGGATTGTGGGAAACCATGTGGTCCGATCCTGTGCTCCATCAATACAGACAAGAAGGAGTGGGCCAAATGGACGAAGGAGGAGCTGATCGGCCAGCTAAAGCCTATGTGTGAGTATTTGAAAAATCCCATTAATCAATTATGGTCGCCCCAGTCTAAACCTTTATTCATATCCTATAATATAAACAGTTGCTGTCTCCTCTAAAAAGGCCTTAATTGTATTTATATGTCTACATGCATGGGAAGAGTATACATAGTGGCTGTTGTCTGTCTGAGTATGTTATATCAAGTCCAATTTGCTGAAGGCTGGTACACTAAGTGCCCTCAGCACCTCAGTCAGAGCACATCTTATGGCAGTGTTCCTGCAATGTAATATGAGTGTGTGCTCTTCCCGTCTGCTAGTAACGGGTCAGAGTTCAGCTCTTGCCTTAGACCTCTGGCACCACTCTGACCGAGCTGAGAGTGTGCTTCCTCTCTTGCCCAGGAAGGAAGTCGAGGCAGAGGAGGGCAGCAAGCTGGTTATTGATTCATGCTAGTGCGTGGGAGCAAGAATGTCTGACTCGCCAGAAATTCCCCCCTTCGTCTCCCCCCCTACATTGACTTGTTATCAGCTGTACTAATGCTCTGTGAGGCGCACTATGTGTTTTTATGAGTCTCTAGATCTGCCCAAAGATTGAGGCAATGTTTTGGAAAAAATCAGGGTTTGTCTGATGATGCTAATAGCCAAATGGGGACCTTGTGAGGTATTGGAAATCTTTCAGACAGCCGTTAAGATGCCTTTAACAACCACGGTGTGATCCGGGCGTGTCTGGCAGGGGCCAGCAGGGCTGTGACTGATATTCCGATGGCCAATTATTGGAAATGTGGCCAGGTAAAGAGGAACGTGTCAGCAGCTTTAGAAGCACACACATGCTGGCAGAATACAGACGAGTCAGTCATCATTGATGTCTTGGCTATATTGTCATCCCCCTCACTGCTCTGCTTGCTATCAGTTTTAGGACATATTTTAACATAAAGCCTTACCTCAGGACAGCCACTGAACAACAACGGCTTACTGTATTCATTAGATCTGTGGCTTAATGTAAAAACCAAGCACCATTTGCGGTAATGCGTAAAGTCATTAACTTTGGGAGTTGTTGGGACAAAGAGGGGGAGTGTGAGATGCCTTCTAGCTAGGCTACATGAGGGGGCTACATAAAGAGCAAAAAACCTTCTTCTGCTTTCTGTCTTTGCTTTCTGTCTTCCTTCTCCCCTCTATCCCCTTCGCTTTCTCCTGCAACAGCCAGCATGTCAACACTAGCTCAGGGATGGAGCAACATTGCCATCTAGTGGTCCTGTATCATAGCAACCCCAGCAAAAACTTGTGATGAGGTCATGCTGTATTATCCATGCATTATTTCATCTTAAATAATACATTAGCTCTTAACATACAGTGCATTTTTTTCCCAGACTGACCTATATCTTGAAAACGCATTTGCATGTATTAGTAGATAGGGTTTTTTGTATTGCACAGGAATTTTATAATAAGTATGCACTGCTGGGAATATTCTTTTTGTACACAGCAGAATGTCCTTAATGACTCAGAAGATGTATATATGAACTAGCAAGACTTATTTCCATGTTCCCTTAATCAGGAATGTGCAAATCCATCAAACTCTGTAGTTTGAATATTTAGTACACAACTCAAGATTGTAGGAGTGTACAGTACAGTATGTTTGCCACAGTATGTGTGGCTGTATGGAAGGCATTTCTTCTAATATAATATTGAGTATTTTTTATTTCAAAAAGGTTTTTGTCAGCACAGGGACCCTTCATTTAATGTCAAATAGTTATTTTTCTAGAGCATTGTCAACTTTTGCGATATAATTGCCCTATTCCGTCTTGCTCTTTTCTTTTGATATTCTCTGCACCATACTCTAGTGCACCAATCATTTGACACCTCTAATGATACACAAAGACAACAAAGGAAAAATGTGGATTTCATGGATCAGTTGAGCTTATTCTGTCTCAAAAAACTCACACACGTGCTCTCAGTCGCAAAAACTTTCACATGCACGGATGCTCGCATGCGGAAGTGCAAATATAAGCCCTGTGGAACATGGCCTTGTCTGACCTCTGGCTCCTTAACTCCCTGTGGCGTTTGATGAGAAAAGGAAGGAGTCAGGGAGGGAAGAGGGGGGGTGAGAGAGTGGCATCACTACTCAGTCACGCTACAACACCATAGACAAGGCAGCCAGCTTGATTCACTCTTTTGGTCTAATGCTATAAACACGCAGCACTCTCCGCAGCTATGCCCCTAGCCTGCTGACAGATAGCGCTTGAGCGGCTTTAACAAACACTCAGACAGACAGAGGGCCTGTCTCCAGGCAAGACACACACAGGGCCAGAGAGGAACAGACCAAGGCCAGACAGACAGGGCTAGCCATCATGTAAACTATTGTACTCCCCTGTCCCATATAGTGCCCAATGGTGCAGATACAATCAGATGGGATATGTACATGTCGTACAGATCAACTGTGTTGTATCATTAGGGCTGTGTGATACTGCTCGCGACAGGATGCAGTTATCAAGATGATGATGTGACTCGCTTGATGTTTGGTACCTCTGCTGCCGCTGCCACTGGGATTAAACCTTGTGGCACTGCTCCTGTCATGTCTGCTTTGGAACACAACCCTCAGTGAGAAGAGCAGACAGGCAGACACGGTGGTAACTGTACGTCAACAACCCACAGCCACCGGGGTGACGCTCGTCTCGAGGGCTGAGGCGATTCTGGCATGAGGGATCAGGGTGGAGGGGAGATTGTTTGGACAAATAGGGATGGCAGTACATGGTGGATGTAAGCTGTTGTATTAGGCTCTCACTCTTGCTCTGTCACCCTCTCTGCGTCACATCAGCAGAACGGATGCTCCTCTGTCCTGCAGCCTCCCTACTGGCTTTGTCACAGAGGGAGATTCATGACAGCATTTTGAGTTTCCCTGTGTCCCTTTCATCTCTTTGTCAGTATTACTAGCAGCATCTAATTGTACTGTTTGCATAAGCACTGTCACAAGTTAAAGAGTGTGTCAAGCCACACTGTCTAATGGGAGCTCCAGACAGACACAACTATTTGTGCAGTAATTGCAGTGACATCAGATGAAACTCTCCTGTCACTTTTGGTGTCCCGTTTTTTTTTTCAGCTCACCCACTCTAGATAATGTCTGCACAAATCTGACTGTAGAAAAGATCAAAAATGAATCCTGTTAATGTTCCTGTAACCTGCCACAGAGAGTCGTCTGAGGAGTGTTTGATCTCAACTTGATCACAGACGTTTTGCTGACATCTGCTGGTGGCCAGCCTGTAATCTGCCAAAGGATCTCAAAGCTTAGATCCCTATCACAGTCGTCCAATCAAGTTTCCCTGTCTCTTTTTTTCACTCGCCTTGACTAGCTTTGTCTTTAATCCGCATTACGCTCACCCTCTTACAATGTTTCCCACTGCTTTTATCGCATAAGAAAACAGACAGGGACGCAAACCTGACTCTCCTTATACATATCTCTCTTGCATATTTAGCCACAGCAGCTTCTGAAGTGAAGAGACCTTGAATTAAAACTAGCTTGATTTTGTTTGACAATCTAAATATGCTTTGCTTCTCAAATATTACCTTTTCTTCCCTGGCTGAGAGCCTGAGCGTTGCAGCTCTCATTGGTGTCTCCTACACCCTTTCAACCACTGAAACCACGATCTGTCTCATCAAAAGGTGTGGCTGCTTGGCAAACAGAGCGGTGAAAAGCAAGTAGAAGTTGCTAAGGACGTGTGACTGAGGCAGGGAGTGGAGCTTTACATGAGAACAGCTCTCTTTCTTTGCTTGGTGCAGCAGCATTAGCAGAGGCTAGATGACATTACTCCCCAGAGGCGGAGGGTGAGAGAGGAAAGATTGTGGCTGCTGTCACCTTCATGAGCACTCACAGAGGGGAGCGGGAGACATGACAACACGAGAGGGGGAAGTGCAGTACAGAAAGTGCACAGGGATTACAGTGAGGAGAAAGACGAGAAAAGCAACTGGCCCAATGCAACAGAAAAAATATGTAAAAGTTAATGTAGGTAGGTATATTGCAATATTAATGAAAAGGATGGAGTGGTATGTAGTACAATCAGAACCAAAGGTAGTGCCTCTCACATTTTTGAAACTACTATATTAAAACTGACGTGACCGAGTGAACACACCAAGGCCATTCGGTGGTTTGTTTCTCTTCATGAGGGAGCGGAAGTATTAGTTCCTCTCTATCAAGGTAACTTTGACGATTTTGTGAGGGGACCAGTGAGCAGCATGATGCTACTGGTCTACTGGCCGATAGACAGGGGTGGCAGTGGGTGGGGCGGGGGTTTGGCCTGGCTGGTGGTCTGTTGGGCTGGCTGACGTCTCTGTCTCCTCCTCTCTCCCGGCAGTTCATGGCATCAAGTGGACTTGCAGCAATGGGAACAGCAGCTCTGGCTTCTCAGTGGAGCAGCTAGTGCAACAGATTCTGGACAGCCACCAAACTAAGCCACCTCCCCGGACTCACAACTGCCTCTGCACGGGCACCCTGGGTAAGGGCGCGTGGGTGGGAGGGGGTTTGTTCTCATGAGAGAGCTTAAAACAAAAACAAAAAGGCCATTAGAGATGCAGTTTGTTTTATTGTAGATCAGAGGAGGTGGTTTAGGTATTTTAATGGTAGGCGGTTTATAGTGAATTATTAGTTTCTTTTCTTTTTTTTGTTTATTAATAACCGTATCCGGACCATATCTGAAAGAAAGAGCCCAGCTGTTCCCGGATGTTTCTGCTAATCATTCAAATATTTTCAGCTGTCTAATTTGATTTTGGGCTGTCATTCAGGAACATAATGTAGATCAGCAGTTTATTAATTACTAAGAACCAATCATGTTGTATACCCCTAGCTGCAGCCAAACCCCCCTTACATTTTACTCACTGTTTACCTAAAAGAAAGGCTATTTTAATCACTCAAAGAAAACTTTTCTGACAAAATGAAATATATCATCCATACTTGTGTCCTCCTTGCACAGTAGTCCTTTTTTTTGTTATTTGAATAGCAATAGTTCAGTGGATGTATTTCGTGCCCACCTCATCCAAATAGCCAACCTCTTTTTCTCTGTTTGTCCTCGTATAGGTGCAGGGAGCAGTGTGCACCACAAATGCAACAGCGCCAAACATCGCATCATCTCCCCGAAGGTGGACCCTCGCTCAGGAGGCTACAGCAGTGCTCACTCTGAAGTCCAGAACAACGATGTGTCGGAGGGGAAGACGGAGCACAGCGCCCACGGCGGAGGCAAAAGCTCCGGTGGAGGCGGAGGGGGCAGTGCCAGGGAGAAACGCAACGGCAAAGTCCACAAGCCCATCCTGCTGCACCAGAACAGCACCGAGGTGTCGTCCACCAACCAGGTGGAGGTCCCTGACACCACGCAGAACTCCCCCGTGTCCATCAGCAGCGGCCTCAACAGCGATCCGGACATGGCCGACAGCCCCGTGGTGACAGGGATGAGCCACGTGGCCTCCGTCATGTCTGGCTTGTCTCAGAGCGTCTTCATGTCTGAGGTCACTGGAGACCCTGTTTACAGCATGTCTCCTACTGGGGGTCCCAACACTCACCTGATGGGTGCAGATGCCACCTCACAGGGCATGGTGCTGTCTGTGGGCTCTGATCGTCACAAATTTGCCTTCCCCGGTGGAGGAGTGGGAGAGCCTGGGACTAACGCGGCGGGAGACAGTATGTCCATGATGTCTTCAGCGGGGGTCTCTGAGGAGCTGGTGCTCTCCAGCAGTCTGGATGCTGGAAGCATTAAGATCCCAGAGACCAATATGAACTTTGACCCTGACTGCTTCCTGAACAACCCCAAACAGGGCCAGACCTATGGAGGCAGTGCAATGAAGATAGAGGGCAACTCTTCCTCAACCTCATCTTCCTCCGGTGGCAGCAGTTGCAACGGGAGCATGCAGCGCTCCCCCGCCATGTCAGACAATGGCTACACCTTCAGCTCAGCTATGGTAAAGAATATCAAGATAGAAGACACATCGTTTGAGCAGCAGCTGGCCAAGGAGAGTGGCTACCAGGTGGGTCCGGTAGTGAGCTGCGGGGGCGGGGTCTCTGTGTCATCTGGTGCTGGTTCGGGCCAGGGTAACCTTACTCTGAATACGGCGGGCTCCATGCTTCCTTCTGGTGGGGGTCTGAGTCCCAGCACCACCCTTGAGCAGATGGATTTCAGTGCTATTGATGCCAAGCAAGACTATTCTTCCAACGCTGCCACCGTAAACTATGGTCAGGCCATGTCCAGTCCTCACATGCAACACCAGAGTCGTTCACCCAGCTTCTTCCTGCAAGATTCTTCCCAGACCGGACAGGGCCAGCAGGGAAGGCCCAGCATGGGTCAGAAAACACATTTGATGGAGCACAATTCCCATGACTCTGGAGCGTATATGGGGCTGCAAGTGGTGAAGACGGACTCCCCTGGCAGTAACGGCCACATCCACCACCACCATCAGGCCCACCAGCACAGGCCCAACTGTAATGGAGGCTCCCCCGCAGAGGGGGGCGGTCAGGCTGGCTCTCTCCAGCTGCTACAGTACCAGGGGGGCTATCCTGGGCTGGGTGCTGAGCATGAGGAGGTGGTGGGTCTAGAGCAACAAGGCAATGTGAATTCAGCTCAGGCTGGAGCCACTGAGAATGGAGCTGAGAATCTACTCAAGCCAGGAGACCACATCCAGGCCTGCGGGACAGGAAACGGAGAGGGAGCAGAGCACTACCTGCAACAGGCCTCGGATGGAGGTGGAGGAGGGAATGGAGGTGCTGGAGAAGGAGTAGTAATGCATAATGGTAACAACAATAGTGATGGCAGCAACCGCTCCCAGCAGCAACAGCAGCTGCAGCCCCTCCTCCAGGGCACCAGTATGGTCCAGGGACTCTACAACGCTGTCGGAGCCCACCAGGGCCTCGTTGGAGCGGCCAGTAATGGCGGAGCAGGAGGGACAGGCATGGAGATCAGCCTGGATCACTTTGACATCTCTTTTGGTAACCAGTTCTCTGACCTCATCAATGACTTCATCTCAGTGGATGGAAGTGGAACCACCATGTCAGCTGGTGGGGCCCTATATGCTCACCAGCTGGTCCAATCCCACAGTTCAGATAGTCAAAACACCGCCGGTGGGCCCCCTCAGCAAGGCCAGGAAGATGGAGGGGCCAGGAGCTCTGGCTACAGCCCCTCGGAGCTCTGCCTTCAGCCCTGCTGCAGCCCCCAGTCTCTGAGTGCTGGGGCTGGAGGAGGGGGAAACACCGGAGAGCCGGGCTCATTGTCCTACATGAATGTAGCAGAGGTGGTCTCTGCAGCTGTAGCCCAGGGGGCTCTGGGGATGCTTCAGGCCACAGGCCGGCTCTTCCTGGTCACTGACTACTCCCCGGAGTGGTCCTACCCTGAGGTGAGGGACAGGGCACTTTATTATTTTACAAACATTTGTCTATTTTTGGTTATGACATTTATTGCTGTGGTGTTAGGTCACAATAACTTTACTTTAACTAAAATCAAAGCTATGCTATAAAATGTATTCTAGTTGCATTTCCAGTTTTATTTGTTGAAATTATTTTTGAGATGTGAAATGCAACCATAGACTGCATATAGGAACCGCGTCATCACCCATTGGTTTGTGGAATACGGTTTTGAAGCTTTAAGTTTTGTACTTTGGCCACCACCATCTTGTTTTTTTAACTAGAAATTACCCGAGAATTTGGAGCAAAGTATAACCAAACTCTAAAAAAATGACATCTACTGCAAAAGAGTTTTTCCGTTGAATCGCCCAAAAGAATACATTGCTATTTATTTATTGACTGTAAATAGGACGACAATTTACTGAACCTTATGTTATATTGAAGAAGACTTGAAACCATCGATTGAGAACATAAACTCAGGAGTAAAAAGTTGACTACGGTCATAAATTAAGTGAGAGGTAGGGTCATTTTCTCCGTCTTTCTGCAACCATTGAAGTCACGCCTTGCTGGCTATTACAGATAAAGTGAGTTTCACATTGACTTCACTCTTTAGACCCAGAGGCTACTCCATGGTCCTAAGACTAGAATTTAACCCAGGAAATTTCAGTTATATGGCATGCACTGTTGAAACACTAACAAGGCGCTCCAAAGGGGAAATCCTTGATATTATTTTACATGAAGATAAAAACCGACAATCAGACTAGAAGTTATTCTCCTTTCTCTTTTTTCTCTAAGCTTGACACAAAATGACGCATACATCCTTATCTGTTCAGACATAAACATAAACCTGTCATGGAGATGAAAATATGTTTCTCTCATATATTTTAAGTAATAAAGCTGGTTGATTTTGGTGCCTCTCAGTCTGCGGCTATTCGTTAGACTCCATATATGGAATCTGGATTTAAGAGTTCATCTGTACACTGATTAAACTTCTCTTATTTAGGACGAAATCTTTGCTGGCCTTTGAAGTTGGTAGAATTGTACTGAAATATTTATACAAAAAAAGTATGTATTATAACTATGTTATAGATTCTATAATAAATCCCAATATGATAACTTGTGCTAAAAAAACTCCCTTCTTTCATTATTATAAGTAATGGAAAGACTTGTCAGTATTACAATTATGTGGTCAATAGTAATACCCTCTTCCAACCTCTAGAGGGCAGCAGAATTCTTTTATGTGTTTTAGAAAATGTGTGTATTGAAATTACGTTGGTTGTCCACATGATGGCAGCAGAGATCAGTTTCAGAATCGTTTTCTTTATCCTGATGTAATTCTTTACTTTGCACACCAGATGGCAGTGTAACAACACATAATGTAAGCAGGGGTACTTGGAATGAGCTCCCCATTGAAATCAGGACAACAGAAAGCTTACACATCTTCCGGCGCAGACTAAAAACTCATCTCTTTCGACTCCACTTCGAGCGATAGAATTACTAACAAAGAATGACTGACAAAGCACTTATATACTAATAAAGGACTGGCTTATCTAAAGCCAGTTGAGTAGCACTTGAAATGTTTTGGCTCTATGAAACCTGATGTACTTATATGATTCTGTTTTCTTCAAGTTTGTATCTTCTTGGTCGAATGCACTTATTGTAAGTCGCTTTGGACAAAAGCGTCAGCTAAATGCAATGTAATGTAATGTAATGCACTTGAAGCTGACTTGGCAGTTGTGTTAAGAGTTTGTTTAAAGCATTTTTCCTGTTTTTCAGGGTGGAGTTAAGGTGCTGATCACTGGGCCTTGGCAGGAGGCCAGCTCCAACTACACCTGCTTGTTTGACCAGATCTCAGTCCCCGCTTCTCTCATCCAACCAGGAGTTCTGCGCTGCTACTGCCCAGGTAAGAAACATCCGAGAAGAAAAGGGACGTTTATGAGGACATTTATCCATCACATTATTCATGTATTGATGAGTTGACTTAACTTGTGCCATTTCACATTTGTTACTTTTCTGCAATAGGCCAATTGCACTCTTCTAAAATACATTTTGGTTTAGTTTATGTTGTTGTTTTTTAGGGTAGGGTTTGCAGAGTTATGGTTTTTATTTCTCCGCACCAATCAATATTTGTGTATTTATCTATCATGTATATTATTAACTTTCCTTTACTAGTTTGAAGTAATAATCTGTAGGTTGAACATATGTATTATCTGGTCAGCAATATTATTTTATTTTCATTATGTTTTTTAACACATATATTTCTAAAGTAAGCAATTGCTTTTTTCAAATTGATGTCAATATTGTGATATTAAACTGAACATTCAAGTCAATCAACAAAAACAATGCAAGTTTAGCACAATGTTAAGCTGTTGCGTACTATTCGGAAAGTTACTGAATGTCTTTGAAACAGTCAAATCAGAATCAGAATCAGAATACCTTTATTAGTCCCACAGAGGGGACATTTGCATCGTTACAGAAGGAAAGACCACAGACAGCTTAATGTTACATATGTTAAAAAAAGTACTAAGTTATCATATAATAAAAAATATAATAAAAGTAAAAAAAAAATACTTTTCAGAATACAAATCCTGTAACAGTTCTTAGGATTTAGCAGCCAGGTATATATTACACAGTTATTAACCGCATTTATATATTGCACATATAGCACATATTGCACATAGTTGATTGGTATTTAGCAGCAAGGGGTGATATAGTCTGTGTTGTGGTGTGTGTAGGGGAGGGGGGGTCTACTAGGGGCTGTGCTGGTTGTACAGATACAAATATGTTTTACTTAAATATATAAAAGATGTCGCAGGTTAAGCTTGATGTGGCATTATGTGAGATGATACTATAATGTTACTGTCATTCTAATGTAGTCTAACGTATGGGATTCAACCCCCCAATTACGAAATGTGACCCTGTCAAATATGACCATATGATATTGATATTCTGTAAATGTTGAATGTACTAAATGTTCATTATCTTCTCCCTCTCCAGCTCACGACACGGGTCTGGTGACGCTACAGGTGTCCGCCAGTAACCAGATCATCTCCAACTCGGTGGTGTTCGAGTACAAGGCCCGCGCTCTTCCTTCACTGCCTTCATCTCAGCACGACTGGCTCTCGCTGGATGGTAGGTCTCTGCTCAGTTTTACCTCCGCTTTGATTCCTTCCCCTGACTCTTTCTCTTGGTCTAGTTTACTTTGGTGTTTTCTCTAATCGTTACTTCTTTATGTAACTCCTGATTCTTCTATCTGGCTCTCCAAATCTCCTGTAGCCTCATTGATTTTGTTAATTATGATTAATGATCTGCTTGACCATCATGCTTTACAAATCCTCTCTCTGGCTTTGCCTAAATCCATTTTGTCACAGCCTAAACAGTCACATGCATTAGCTCTCCCTGGAGACAAACACGACTGCAGGATAATGGTGAATGCTTAGTATACTGAAAGAAGTGTCATTACACCTTTATCCATGTACATAGTAAATGCAACCAATTTATTTCATCCCATATAACATGTAATTGAACTCACACATTGCATGTTCCTTGTCTTTTTTAAATTTCAGATATTATGCTTGGGATGAATTATGGTTGGGATTAGTGTTGTAACATCTCATATTTCAGAAAGACAGGAGTACACAGCTAGAACAGTAACAAGCAGATAATGAGTTGAATGTAAAATATTGTGTCCTGCCATAAAACATGCTGATTCTTTGGTCCTCAGCCAAGCAGAATAAAGGTCATGGATAAATCCTTGGCTTTGGCTGCTTTGGCTGCTTCTACGCAGCATGTGTGGAGGTTGTGTTTGTGAGGTTAAGTAAGAACCTGTTATCAGATTTGTTGGAAAGCACTTTTTCTTTGTAGGGCTGGAAAATAGTCAAGTATTTTACATATGAATATTGAAAACGGTGGTGTTAAGATATGATCAAACCAAATTATTGTTTTGAAAATGCTGAAGAAAAATGCAATTAAAGACTAACTAATGATTTAATTGTATACGTTATACACATGTGAAAGCTTGATGTAATGCAGTGGAACGGTTGATTGGTAATAGTAGTAGTATCACACATGGGGCTTTGCATGGCATTGCTATATTTTTAGGTGTATTAGTATCTGAATAATAGTTGTATTAATATTGTGTTATTGTGTGCCTAGCCCAACTTGGTATAACCCAAGAGAAACTGATTTGAGAGTAACCTTTGCTTTGTTCGATGTTGTGTTGAAAATGTTTCGCTTTGAATTTGCAGTCTGTTGTCGAGATGCGCAACATTTTAAGCGTCATTTTTTGGTCGTATTTTTGTGAAATAAACTGTTATTGTTTCCTCTTGCTTTTGGTATAACCAGCCAATAGGAATGCTGATGTGTTTACAACAGTGCAAAGGAAAAGAAAAAATGTGGGCATTGGTTTCTATGAGTATTTGCAAATGTTTTAAAAATAATAAACGTGTTTTCTTATAGTAACAGAGCTTTAGAGATCAGCACTGTAGAGGTCTTCTAGATGTAATAACATATGCTGCAGGGTTGGCAAGTTTCCATTCTGTTTGAATTCAAATTGAGAATGTGAGTCAGAAGACCTACTCTGGGCATGTTCACCAGAATGTAATGAGTATGTAAGTCTGTGTGTGTGTGTGTGTGTGTGTGTGTGTGTGTGTGTGTGTGTGTGTGTGTGTGTGTGTGTGTGTGTGTGTGTGTGTGTGTGTGTGTGTGTGTGTGGTGCCGGAGAAGCATTGCTGCAGTGCTTGAGCATTGACAGGATAAAGTAGGGCACGGCGAAGCACAGGCTCACAGGACAGCTGCATTGCAGACGGCCCTTGAGGGAGTGGGAGTGAGTAATGGAGAGCTGGCGGCTCCCATACACGGCAGCACCAGTGGATCCCTCCGCCATTCATACCCTACTGCCTCACTGGCTCATTCACAGAACCAGTTAAGGAGGAGCTGACTGTCTCAGGGAAAACACAGCCCACCCAATAGGGTTACTTATATTAACCTCTTGCCTGCCACCACTGCTATTTTGTTTCATGGCAATCTGTGGTCTCTTATTTGAGGATGACCGTGACATTTGGAAATCCACAAATATCATTGACTGTATTGGATGTCTTTACATCCAAGATTTTGGCGGGATTTTAGCTTATTGTTTTTCTGTTGCACCCGGCTATCTCGCCACTGATTTATTTATAAAGAAAGACCGTTTATGGAGAAAAAAAGCATTTGCAGATTGTTCAAAACAGCAAAAAAGAATATGAAAATACATACATAACACTGAGATTGTATGCTTCTTTAATAGAATATGTATACATAAAATATGTTTGCTTTGTTTCATACATTTGTGTACAAATATATAACTCTGTTCAAAATTAATATGATATGGCACCATGTGAGTGTATGTGTGTGACAGAAAGATTAGCCATTGTAAATCGGAATTATTGTTGCTCTTTGTGTTAGTGCTCTGTTCCTGTGTGCCAATCACACATATGATGGATTGTTACTACAATAAATGAGTCCTCCTCTAGGGTCCTTCAGAGCTCAGGGTAGAAGCATGTGTGACCAGCAGCTTCAGGACAACCGCACTGTGATCAGTGACTCTGGTGCAGAGCGCTCTTTTTGGTTAAATAACAGATTATTTTTCTCGGAAAAGTATATGATGCGATCTGTTGGTCATTGTTTACCCCTTGCAATCGCAGATAAATGCATTTACCCTCGGTGATATCTAGACCATAACTCATTTCAGAAGTAGGGCAGGATGTAATCACTTGGACACAGTGGATCACATCGATAATGTCCACAGTCTGGAAGCACAGCAGGAGAAGAATGAAGTGCTCCACATCGAACGGAATAATGAAAGCAATTCATGTAGTTTCCCTCTTTTAAAAACACTATTCCTGTTCCCTAACGTGATTGTACAGTCTCTTGCTCTTAAACCCTCTCAGTCAGTCACCTGATTAACTATAGGCTGTTTACATTACGCGCCATACGTGCAATGTTTAGTCTGCGGTGTGCTGTAGAGCTTTGAGAGTTTTTTCTCCCATGGAAGACTCACTGTGCTATGATGTGCTAATGGCACAGCTGCCTGCCTGCCTTGATTTGTCATAATGCAGAGTGGGGGAAGGGGCGCTTTTCTCTGCAGCACTGCAGGTACGGAGCCATGGGCAAGACAGAAATAAGCTGTCGGAGCTGCAGAGCACTCATCGTGCGCCCCAATAAGTCCCTGAGCTCTGATCCCAGCACCCGATCCTGGAGGGGTTCGCTGCGAACTGCCAAAAAAGAGCCCCGCATAGCGGCATACCGACTGTTAGTGTTAAAGGGAGCGTATACAGCTCTGACTCCGAGTCTAAGTACACCGGCGTGACAAACAGCAGACCGTTTACACACAATGCAGGAGCGGAGGAGTGGGCGTGTTTGGGTAAACATGGTAAACTACCGCAAACACAACACGATTTACTGTCAGACGGCAGCTAGGCTGGGAGAAAGCGAATCCACTCGTGTTTTGAAAGATTGGACCGACTTTTCCGCGGTCTGGGAGACACTCCGCGCAGACGCACCAAAATAAGAGCAACACGCGTCGAGAGTAGATCTATTTGACAGTCAATGCTTGTTTATATTATCAAAACTGGGTAAATAAGCAATATTAATACGATAATGGCAAGCTTTTAGGAGAAGGAGCAGGGCTCAAGGAGGCAAACGGGAATTAGGGCGTCTGTTTACCGGCGGCACGTGCACACAACGTTTCCTAGCAGCGGTATTTGTCATTTTACCGCAGGCTGGGATAGCAGCGACTACTAGAAACACAAGGAAAGTGTGTGTGAGAGGAAAGAAGTGAAGAGAAGGAGGGGGCTATTAGAGGAAGAAGAGTAGTGAGTGGTCTTCCTCTCTCTCTCCTCACGTCGCTCTCTTCCCTCACTTTGTTCTATTGTTGACGAGTACTCTAGAGATTGATATTCAGTCTACACCAAGGATTATATTTTTACTGTTTCCTCCGTGTAACAGCATGCAGTAGCCTGACCGTCAGGCTGTGGGGGCAAAACTGCAGTTTGAGTGAAATACAGCTTTGGTTGGACTTCTTTGGGTCAGGATGCCTGTGAATGACACCTGCGTTTCCTAAAAGACAAAAGAGGCAGTGTTCTTTGGCTTTGAGGTGGACTCTACAAATGGAAAATAAGATAGAAGGTTAGAAGTGTTAAGTTTAACCTATGGATGTAGTGCTGTGCTGTGCTGTGTTTGTGTTGTGCTGTCTGTGCCTTCCTCGTGAAGAAGTTGAAGTTACACGTTTCTTCGAACATGCTTAGTTGTTTGTAAATGTATTCCATGTGTCTGTACGGTAGCGGAGTTTTACAGAAATACTCTTTTTAAGCTACATGCTTTCTTTAAGTGTTTCATGTGAGTCTGCCTCATTGCAGAGCAATAGTTGACGTTGATAGTAGCCAACTCCTGACTCACGACTCAACCCTTATTAAACACTCCTCAGGACTCCTTCAGAGACAAAGAAAACGTAGATTATGGTTCATTGCATTTTGATTAGCATAATAAGTTATACTTAGAGCTCTCGTGTGACTGTTTTTCCAAGTCTGCTAGTTTTGGCACAAATCCTCCTCCCGCATTTAGGAATGAATGACTCTTTGTAGACAGTTTTAGTCTGTTGGGTCTGTTGAACTATATGTCCGCAGTCTCTCAGGCTGGTGTCCTTAAACTACCAGATGCGAGTGCTGCTTCACGTGTTGTTCAAAGTGTGGTAGCGCATTAGAGTGCTGTCGCATCCCTAAGTGCTGCCCAGGTTATCGGGGCCAGCGAGTCGCAGCTGAAATATACATACTGTTATTTATTTGTTCAAAACACACATAGTTGATATTGCAATGAAGACCACTGTTATAAACAGCATTTGCTAATCAAACAGTAAATATAGTGTGGATTTAAAAGGTTCAGCAGTGAGTGCTGCCGCTGAGCGTTTCAGCACCACAGATCTGTGAACAGCAACTGCACTGTAACCCTGTTCAGTGTTCCAACTTTGCTCTGGTTGAGCGCTTTCCCTCACTACTTAAAGTAACAGCATTGCATATATACATGTATGTACCTGTTGCTCCTCTTTGAGCAACATAGTGTAACCTTTCAAAAAACTGTGAAAGACTCTATACACACCA